ATTTGTTGGAGCCTGATAAACAACAGCATAGCTGAATAGCCTGTTAGGCTCCAAGAAATTCAGCTGTTTTCGGAAATGGACAGATCTTATCCTAGAACGATCCAGAACATTTCCTGAAGAGAGCTCCCTCTTCCCGACTTTGCAGCATGCAGTGTGCTCTGCCAGTGAATAGTGACAAAGAACAATTCTGTTGTCTGTGTTAGTTGGCAGGTGGTTGCAGGAAGCCATAGAACATTCTGGAATGCAAGCCCATATTGTAGTCACTTTTCCAGCTGGTATTTCCACCTTCCTTCCAGAACATGCCTGCATGTTCTATGGTGACTGAAAATGAAATTAAAACAACTCATATCCAGCTTCCAACTCCCTCTGTGAATGCAAGGCTATGCGTGTACGTGTAACACAATAGGTCATTCAGAAAAGGGAAAAATCATTTCCTAAGACATTAACTTTTCTAAAAGGGTTATTAGAAAATTTATTTACAGAAGCAAATGCTATCTTTGTCTTGTTTGTTCTGACTTGTCACTCTTGTTAGAGCCTACCGTAGGACACGTGGAAGTGAAGCATTTCTCTCGGGTGTTACATATGTTGGCGTCTAGGAAAAGTGAATCGGTCTGGGAAATGACAGTGAATTCCTCCCTGAAATGTAGAAAACAGAAATTTACATTTCAAATACCGACTTGGGCAGGACAAATCCCCTGAAAATTCTAGTCTGTGGCAATTGTGTTTTCTTAAGTCTCCTGTGTGCACTGCCTTCTCCCTAATGCCGGATCCCTCCCACCTCCTACAGCACTGGCTTTCTCTCCCCAAGGAGTGAGGGCAGCTAAGAAAATACTCTTCACCATTGGCAACTGAAGATGCAGAATGAATTTGTCTAGTTTTCCACATGAACCCATCTCCAAGGCAAGATCCCCTTTCTAAGTATGATTAACCTCTTTCTCCGCTACATCCTTAATAGGCCTTTGTCTCAGACTTCTTAAGGAAATACTTACATTTGTGGTTTTTGCCTAGGGATTTTGATTTGCCTAGATAGGAGTAAATAAATACAGTCTCAACTCTCAAGTTCTTGGATCTGTGGCTCTGAGAGCAGTGTGGCTGAGTAGAAATGCTCCAACTCTGGACCAGTCCTGGGTTCTAATTCCAGCCCCACGAGTTACTAGGATCCAGGGAACTAACTGCTCTCAACCTGCCTGTGAGAGGACAATAATATCTTCTCACAGTGTTGCTACAAGGATTGCATGAGACATTGTATGTAAACATAATCTAGTCTCTCAGTAGCTATTCGTGCCTGGCGAATTTTTGCTGGAGCATTTGAGGGCAGTGGCTTTCACTAGGAACCTCGGGTAAGAGAACAACAAGCCTGTAAGACAGTTAATTCAAATAAAAAATAAAAACAGTGCAGTGGTGGCCCCAGTTCAGAGTTCCTCCTCAGAATGAGGAAGAGCTATCGCTCATCTCCGTTAGAAAGAGACGGTTGGAGGGGGATTGTGAATGTAGTTATTTTATATTTTTCTACTGGGTAAAAGACAAATGAGCCAATCCTCTGAAAAGAATTGGAGGTTGGTAAATTTTGGTGTTTTTATTCCTGGCTCATTATTTTTAAAAAGTAGGACATGAGTTCTCAGCCATGTGATCTTCCCACTGCCAGATTTATTATTGGAGAGAGGACTTCCTGAGTACCTGTCACTGTGGCTTCTTTGGTCTTTGTAGCAACTGGTGATGTGCAGGAATCATTATCCACATTTTATGGATGAAGACAGTGAGACACAGAGAGGAGAAGAACTTAGGTCACACAGCTAGTGTGTAATTTAACTCAGCGTGTCATACCAGCCCCAGTGGGATGACGACTTCAGCAGCAAGCCTCTTTGAGTTCAAAGACCTTTTCTCTTAGTTGCAGAGACAAGAAACAGCTACAGTTCCCTTAAGACCTGCTTGTACAATACTTTCTATTAGGGCATTAGAAGCTCAGAAGGAAGAGATCAGTGGGTGCTGGAGAAGTCGGGGTTGGCTACTTGTAGATCTGCAATATGACTTCCCTGGGCCCATTTAAAAAAAAAAAAACAAAATATTACTCTTTATGACTGTGTTGGTATAGAGATTAATGTAATACAGGCTAGATTATGTGTTATTACCGTATGCATTGTGTTTTTGTGTTTTGTGATTTTAAGGGAAATCAAATTGAAACATTTTTGCAGTCTCTGTGCCCATTGTGCCTTGTGGATAGGTGGCCCTGCCTGCAACAGGCGTGGACATTCCACTGTGCTCTGAACAATGGGCAGAAAGAGTTTGAATACATGGAAAACAAGGGTTCTAATTAATTGCATGAACAAATGGGTTTGGGAATGACAATTATGGAAGCAGGTGATCCTAGCTACTCAAAGGGAAGGGTGCTTGTCGGGATTCGAGGGCAATATGGGGACCTCGAAAGCCCACTAAGGCTTCTAGACCGGTGGAGTCAAGAAGGAAGGTAACCGAATTTAGTCCCAAAGACAGCAGAGGAAGGAACAGTACCCACCCATAATAAACCTTTCATTCATTCATGGCAAAAATGAGAGAAATAAGGACAAAGCAGTCCATTTTTTATAAGGCTGAATTTATTCCATTTAAAGAACTGTCCTTTTTATGTATTAGGTTCTGTGGGTTTACACATTTCCTCACTTTATCATGAAGTGAAGGCAGTGGCCTTCGTAAATGGCCATTTTTTTCAATATCTTTATTTGGCAAAATAAAAAATTGACAACCCTAAATTGGCCACAAAAATCACTTTGAATTTTTAATTGGTCCACAAAATCCAAAGGAGTTGAACTCAGTTTGCCATGTGGAGGACAGCCCATGTTCTCAATAGCCCCAGCGCTCCACCAGCCCCAATGGCTTAAATTCAGTAGTCCCTGTTCCCATCCTACTGGGACACAGGTCCCCACAGCTCCAGGCAGCCATCCCTTTGTCCATGAGTATAGTCTCCCACTGGCTGCTCCTCTTCCTTTTGCTCCCCTCATGGTTCTGGATGGGTGCGGGCCTTCCACCACTACAGTCAAACGGACAATCATAGCAATCAACTTGAAAGGTAAATCTGATTTGCTGGCCTACAAGGAATTGCATATGCCTTCCTCGTGTCTTTCATTCTCTTGGGGCCTGGACTTTATGGATGACAGCCCACATTACTGGCCACATACAGGTGGCCTGGATGGGTCCTTTTGAGTAACCTGGAGAAGGACCACAGAAAGCAGGGAGCCTGGGGTGGCCTGGGCTAGGAGCAAACCTGGCCCAGCCTCCTGGAGGAGGAGCCTTTGCAGACACATCCCGCCCTGTTAGAGGCTCTGGCAGTGCTTGAGTTAAAGGTGACAGAGACCTAAGGCTGTGGCCATGAGGACAGAGACGGGGGCCATAGTCGGGGATATTTCACACTAAATCCTGGACAAGGTCCACGCTGTATGGTGACGAATGGCTTGCAGGCCTCAGTGAAAAGGGGTTTCAAGGATGCCTTAATGAAAATAAATGTATTTGCAGTCCCTTCTCTTTAACAGTGTTAGCCTGTGACTGCTACAATCAGTTTAAGCCATGGCTTTCTGGCTTTAGTAGGTGCCTGCAGTAACTTTACAATTTTCCATCAAGCTCTTGATTTTTGTGATCCTTAGTAAATCCAGGCATATCCCTTAGAACAATTTACAAAGAATTTTGTAAATACTACGTTTAAGTCGCCTGGTTTCATTTGTAGGAGTTACTAACATACCTGTTGATGACCTATGAGTACAGGAGCTTTAAAATTTGGTTTTGTTTCTCAGTAAAATTCCCCATGTCAATTCATCATTTCTAATATATTGTCACTGAGAGTTATATAGTCCCACAGCCTCCCCTGTGATCCCAGCAGGAGGGCCACTCCACTGGCTCATTCCTCATTATAGTGTCAATGTAATAAGCACACAAATGTCCATTCCTAGATAGGAGATGATACAATGGTAGAATCGTGGCTCATCAGACCTGCGATAAAAGTCCTAAGATTTGACCTTTCTCACTATTGCTCTCAATAGTATCGTCTAACTGAATAGAGTAAGCAATTAACGACATATTATTACATCACAAGGGCTGGTTTCCTCCCATAAGCAGTTAGACACACCTGGGTTTAAATCCCAGCCCTGGGGCGCCTGGGTGGCTTGGCTGGTTAAGATTCTCTATCTTCCTCTCCCTCTGCACCTTCCAGCACTTCCTGGCACAGGCACACAGTCTCTCTCTCCCTCTCTCTCTCTCTCCAAAAAAAAAAAAGTAAAAATAAATAAACCAAACCCCAGCCCTGTGACCCACTTACTGCTCGAAAGAACCTAGGCAGGAGCCAAACCTCTCTGACCAAACCAGAGCACATGAAGCGATGAACCCCTGCCAAGTAGGGTTGGGTGAGAAAGTCGAAGCGCGTGTTTGAATGCCCTGTGTATGCTCACTGCTCACTTTTTCTTTAAGACCTTATTTATTTGAGAGAGAGAATGAGAGAGCACGAGAGAGGGGAGGTTCAGAGGGAGAAGCAGGCTCCCCACAGAGCAGGGAGCGGGACGCAGGACTCAATCCCAGGACCCTATGATCACCACCTGAGCCAAAGGCAGATGCTTAAACCACCTGAGCCACCCAGGCGCCCACTCTGTTCATTTTTTAAAAGAAAACCTCTGTGGACGGCATCTGCCTTCCATTCTACGAAGTCCAGACATTACCCTTGACTTTTCGAGCTGAGGCCTCTCCTTCCTCCTCCCGGGTCAGGGTAGGGTTTCCGGTGCCGTGTGCCTCTCCCCCTCCCTCTGCCGCCAGTTTTGTTCCAGTCCCATCCTCCGCATTACGAAACTGGTCACGGGAGCCACCTAGTGCGCGAGTACCCAACACAGACTTAGGTTTACTAGAGAAATAAATTCTGTAAGTCCTTTAAATCCATCCTAAAAAAATAAATATAGCTGTATTTTCATGTCTGTTTTCTGAAGTTTCTGCTGTACCTTCAATATATACGTTCTGTTTATTTCCTATAGATCGTGGTTCCTCAGGGAAGAACAGAAAAGAGGAAAATTACATTTTTGAGTCCAAGAGCCATCGAGGAGGACGAGGAGGGGAACACCCGGCCCCAGAAACAGGTAAATGTGTGACCTAGAAAGTCACTGCCAGGTATAAGCGTCTGCAGAATCGCAGGTCCTCCAGTTGCAGTTATCAGAGGAGGCTGCCAGGGTCCACGAAAGACCTGTGGTGCGAAGAACCGTGGAATTCTCACCTCCTCTATCACGCTGCGGGGTTGGGCTCTTAAACTCGTAACCTCACATCTTTGGGCCTTGGCTCCTCTTTTATAAGTTGATTGGGTTAGATTATTGCTACATTCCTTCCCAGGTGTAACATTTCTGTGGGAAGAGTGATCTCCTGCACCGAGGTTAAAAATACAGGCTCTAGAATCTGATGCCAAGGTTCAAACCCTCGCTCCACCACTAAACTCCACGGCCTGGAGCGGGCGATTTTCTCTCTCTGGATCCCAACCTCCTCATTAGTAGGATGGAGATAACAACTGTCTCTGCCTCAGAGTTGTTTGGGAGCACGAATGGGACGATGAAAGCATTTAGTGCACTTCGCGGCTCATACGATGAGCCTGATGAACGGGGGCTCTTCTGCTTGACTTGGTTATGATATGAGTAGAGATCTTAGAGCACCTAGTTCTCTCCAGCTGCTCCAGCGATAAAGACCAAGGACAACAGGTATGAGGAAAGAGTGTTGGAGGTCCCGGGAATGTGTAGTGAATACAAGAAGAATATCACAATTACATGATTTTGGTGGTTTTTAACTAGAAAGAAAACCCTTTTGACCTGGTTTTGTAGAAAGGTAGGTTTTAGTACTAAATCCCACGAACTAATTAGTAAAAGAAGATTTATGTGAAAGAAAGATGGTTCTTAAATTATAGATCTGAACGTGGAGAAGGCTTTCTTTTTGCCACAGGGTGTTCTTTGTAAAATCTGGACAACATTAAAGCATAACCGTTAACCAACAGAATAATCCAGACCCCAAGTACCTAAATGCTGTGTGGCCTGCTGGCCCGCTGGGTATTTCACTAAAAAGGGCCCTGTCCCCCATGCACACATAAAGGGAAACCAGGCCTGCCTGGCACCCCTGCCTGGTTGTATGCAGAGAGTCTCTGTTCTGACTGCCCGTTCCAGTTATGTGTCATTCATTACGAATGTCACTCCCACTCAAATGAGCAGAATACCCGACTCATCTCCTTAGCTGGTTCTTGAGAAAATTATATCTTGATGTGTTTCATAAGGGGTTAGAAAATTTTAAATCTCCAAATACCCAAACTAAAGACAGTGAGGAAAACATGCCAAATGAATACTGAAAAGTCTAGAATAGTTTGCAGTATTCTAGCAAGTTCTTTACGGGAGATTCCATGTTTTTTGCATCCAAAGCATTAAACAGGAATCAGCTTGACGGTGTGGCCACCTCATCTCTGACTTGGCAAATAGAAAATTCCCCGAGAGTATATGTCTGCTCTGTTGTTACCATGGCTGCACTTGCTCCCTCAGCCCTGGAACTGGGACCTTCTAGCTCAGCCCCCTTCCCCGCAGCCTAAGCACCGATGCTCACCCCTATGCAAATCATGCACATTTAGGAGTGCAGCCTCTAGTCCTTTCCCAGCCCCGAACAAGCCCAGTGATCGATTGTCCTCAGCTATGCTTCCCCAGAGGGGAATGCTCCTCTGTTTGCTCGCACCTGCCTCCTTGCCTTCAGAACTAAAGGAAGAAGTGTCCTCTCTTTCCAAGGTCTGTCTCCCCCTGACCTTGATACAAGCCCCTAATCTTCTCAGGTATGTTTCTCCATCATTGATGAACTCTCAGGTGTTTTTAATCTGTTTCTCTATGGGCTCGTTCTCCCAACAGATGCAGACACTTTCAGATCTCTCCCAACACATAAAAATAAGACAGCATGCCTTCTTCAGTCTCCCTGAAAAGAATTTCTGATTGCGAAGTCCATTGGCCTCTCCAGGCTTCACCCCACTTGAACTCTTAGCATTTGGTTCAGCCAAGTGCTTCCTTGAAATAGTCTCTTCCCTGTGCTTCCAAAACTCCTCTCCCTCGACTGCCCTGCCACTTCTCCGATCGTCTCTTTCTGTTCTCTTAGGTGGTCTTTTGTCTGCCCTCAAATGCTGGTGTTTCCTAGGGCCTCACTTGTGGGCCTCCCTCTTTTCCCTCTCTCTCTGGCAATCTCTTCTGCTTCGTGGCTGCAGCCACGACCTGGACACTAAAGACTCTCACATATTAAGGCCCAAATAACCCAGAAACCTATGGGGCGCCTGGGGGGTTCAGTCAGTTAAGCATCTGACTCTTGATGTCAGCTCAGGTCATGAGCTTAGGGTTGTGATATTGGCTCTGTACTCAGGGAGGCTGCATGAGATTCTCTCCTTCTCTCCCAGTATCCCTCTGTCTCTCCCCTGTTACCAAGGGGGCATGCTCTCTTTCACCCTCTCTCTCTCAAATAAATAAAATAAATAAATCTTTAAAACAAAATTCCAGAAACCTTAAGAAAATTCTACCTGGAACATGTATAAGCATCTCAATGCAAAAATGTCAGAAAATACACTTAATCTCCCCAGCCCACCCCCAAAGAAGCTCCGTCATACATTTAAACCACTGGAGCAAAAATCCTAGGAACCGGACACACGAACCACTCCTTTTACATCTGCACTTCCTATCTAATTCTGTCACAGTAATTGTAGTACTTAATGGTATGTTTTCATTTAAGCGTTTGTCTACCAGACCTGAAGTCATTAAAAATCATGATCTCGTTTCCCTTTTGGGGAAGTTCTGTATGGTAGTAGGTCTGGAGCTGCCCAGCCTGGGGCCCTGTCCTTGCTCCGCCACCGACCTCACAAGCTTAGACAAGTCGCTCCATTCTTGATGTCTTAGTTCCCTCAGTTGCAAAATGGGTAGAATAATAGTGCCGACTCATATGGTGGTCGTAGAATGAAATGATTTATACCATAAAGCGCTTAGAAGAGGGTGGGCGCCTGGGGGGCTCAGTCCGTCGGGTGTCCAACTCTTGGTTTCAGCTCAAGTCATGACTTCAGGGTCATGAGATTGAGCCCCATGTCAGCTCTACACTGAGTGTAAGTCTGCTTAAAACTCTCTCTCTGTCTAAATAAATAAGTCTTTAAAAATATACATATCATTTTTTTAAAAAGGCACTTAGGACAGTGCCGGGCCTCAGTAGCTTGGGCCTACTGTGGGTCACCAGCACTCAGCTCTGTGTCAGGCACATAGCCCTGACAGAATGCTGCCTGAGTGAGGGAAGGAACAAGAGGGAAGGTTATGGAAGCAGCTTATGCGATGGGCATTTTTATCCCTCTAATTCCACGGGTTGGCAAGACCCCTGCAAGCTAAAAGTAGCTCCGCCATATCGCCTCCAAGCCTGGTCTGGCTCCAGAGTAGGTCAGACTAAGAATAGGGCCTGCGGAGCTTGATCAGGAACACCAACCGGGGCGCACCCTGTCCCTTCCAGACTTCTGCCGGCCTCCAGAGGCTGCTGCTCCTCCTGGCGTCTGGGATGCACCCCCCAGGAGAGACCCGGGGAAAGGGGACTAGAGAGTACCAAGTACCAAGTACCCTTAGCCGGAATCAGGCCAGTGTAGTTGGAAGTTGGCTCTCAACAGTGGTTCTTAATGGCTGAGGGCAGGTTCTCTGGATTTAGAAAAGAAAGTGAATTTCTTCAAGCCCTAACCAGTACAAGAAATCAGGAGTGAGTCCATACTTATTCCGAGAGACTGCTCACATGCAAATCCCCCAGTGTCATCTGTGATTGTGCTGAAAGCCGCTCCCCTGGGCGCCATGTCTTCCCCGCGGTCCGTTCAGTCTGCTGCAGTGGGGGTCGGGGTGGGGGGCTGGTCCAGCTGCAACCCTGGGGCCCGCTATGCTACCCACGTGTTGTAGGAACTCGGTACAGGATGTGGCTTGAAAGAAGTGTGGGTTGGAGCACGACACCTGTCCTTCACAGCCCACGTGCTCCCAGACCCATGACGTAACCTGCACACTTAGCTCCCCTGTAAAGTGGTGATAGGACAAGGCCCTGCTTTTTGGAATGGTTCAGAAGAACTGGAACAGTGCCCGCCAAGCGCTTGTCCCACAGGAAACCGCGTCGTCGTCGTGGCCGATCGCTGACGTGCCCTGTTCACTTTTTCCCGCTTCACAGGCGCGGTGCTGCCACTGGCCCTGGGCTTGGCCATCACGGCTCTGCTGCTCCTCATGGTTGCTTGCCGGCTGCGCCTGGTGAAACAGAGACTGAAGAAAGCTCGGCCCATCACGTCTGAGGAGTCTGACTACCTCATCAACGGGATGTATCTGTGACAAATGTCACTCGAGGGGCAGGGGGCGAGGCTGTTTTCCTCATCATTGATCCATAGATTGGTTCTGCGTCTTTATAACCTCTTTGATCTGAACTGGGCTGAGAAAAATACCGAAACCCCAGAAAATTCTGCAAACCCCAAACCTGTTTTTATTTATTGTAGAGTTTCTTTGAGAAGTGAGATGTTTGGGAATTTAGAGAGGAATCCATATGAGTAAAGACTCACGAATCTAATTCTGATTTAGGCACGCTGTCCCTGAAAATAGCAATTTGCCCTGAGCCAAGGCAGAAAATTCGGGCAGCCTTCGAATGACAATGCTAACCCCTTTACTGTTCAGAAGCTGACCAGTGGCCCCCAGCAGCCCTGGACCACTTCACGCACAGCTTTCTCTTGTTCGGAGGCCTTCCTGTTCCAGTGCCCTCCTTTCTTTTCTCCCCTTCAAAACCTACTTCTGAGAAAGGATCTCAAGTGAGTTTAGACCTCAGGCAGGAATGTCGAAATCGTAATCCTCGCGAACACGTTGAGGAGGCGTCAGGGCAGGTAGGGTGAGTTTATCCCAGGGCCTCTGACCTCAGGTCCCTTGGGTGGCTGTCGTCCCCTCAGGCTTGCCTTTGGGAGAAGACGCCCTGACTCTGGATTACAACTAGCTGTGACATGGTCCTGGAGGGAGATAGGAAACCATGGTGGCAGCAGGGGTGGCAGGTCAAACGTTTAACACAAACTTAGCGGAGGGCACAATGCCAAGAGGACCATTAAGACTTTCTCGTATTTACTTGACACGGCCCGATAGTCCAGAACACAGCCGCTTTATTTATACAGTCACTGGTTTTCAACAGGAATCTGTGTTGATGGAAGAGAAAAATGCATTCAAATTGAAAAGCAGAACACTGAGTGGATTTCTAGGTGCAGGTTTTGTAAAAATGTCCCAGGTAGAAGTATCAGCAGGTTCTTGCATCTGGTGGAATAGGCCAGGTTTCTCCATCATTTGTTTAGCACTGTAAGATGTTAGGCCAGGCAATCTGTTCATGGCAGGCTCATGTTTTCCCAGAGCAGAGAGCAGCCTTGCACAAATTCTTCTTTACAGAAAACTGGCATCTAGCTTAGCATCTTCTCCCTTTAGTCTGTAGGATTTTAAAGGCGAATTATTCCCATCATCACTTCATGCCGGGATTATACACATCCTAGAAATCCTCCTCCTGAGAGGACTCTGTCGTGTGGTGCCTGTCTACACTCCCGTATTACTATTTATATAACATGGCTTCTTATCAGAAGGGGCAAATCTTCTAAAATACTTGAATCAAAACTGTAGAACACTTTATTTTCAGACTGAACCTGAGGTAAGTTGTCCCTTTTGCGAAGGGCTTAATATGGGTCAGAAATATAAGAGAGTACATTAGTAAATGGAAAATTAGTTCTAGAAAAAACAAAGAAATTGATTACTTTTATTTCCCAAGAGGTCCATGCATTTTGTTGAATGTTTAGAATTGAGCAAAAAGATTTAATGTTCTCCTCAGGGGCAGACTGGAGAAACGACCGTGTGAATGACCTTAGGATATCTGTACTCTCTGTGATGCTTTGCAGTTTGCTTTTCTAGAGAAAGGGTGTCACCTATAGCCATACCCAATAAAATAAAAACTGATAAGGCATTCATCTTTCGGCACATCTTTTTATACATGAAGAAATTAAACACGGTTTAGCATTGTTATGGTGTTGAAATACTTGAGAAAAGATGTCCACCTCCATGTGTACAATATCCCTTTAATAAATTGTATTTTATTCTTACACCTTTCTAAATAACCTTTTAATCTAATCATCATCGTAAGTTGCTTTTACTGAGCTGTTACTGTATTACCTGGATTTAATCATATCAACCTTATCTTGCAAAGGGGGAAATTAAGAATTAAAGGAGAATCAAGGTCTACAAAATAGTTATATTGTCAGATGGACTGAATGGGACTTCTAAAAGTCACCTTCCCTGTATCTGATTGGAGGAGTTTTGCATCTAAGATAATTTAAAACTAATTTCAAAGAGAAGATTGTCCACTACTTATTGCTCAAACATGTTCTTGTGTCTCATGTGTCTTTTCCCGAGAGAGAAAAGGCCCACGTAAGCCATCTTTCAGAAAATGTACAGCTGGGCCCCTGGATGGCTCAGTCGGTTAAGTGACTGCCCTTCTGTTCAGGTCATGATCCCAGAATCCCAGAATCGAGTCCCGTCCCACTGGACTCCCTGCTCAGTGGGGAGTTTGCTTCTCCCCTGGACCTCCCCCATCTCATGCTCTCTCTCTCTCTCTCTCTCTCTCAAATAAATAAAACCTTAAAAAAGAAAAAAAGAAACCATACAGCTTCTTTGCTCTAATTCTCAGTACAAGTAGACAATAGCCGTCACCATCCCTCCCCAAGCATTTGAACGTCTCCAGTTGCTTGAGGATCAGATTTGTTCTCTTCCACAGGAAGATGACAGAAGGCCTCATCTTTCTCCTACTGCCTTTTCATCATCTGTGATTTGGCTCCACCATTCACTTTCACAATCAGCGACCCTCCTCAGCCACTGATGGCTGTTTCAAGTTGTTCTTCACTGTTTTCCCGCAACCCAGACGCAGAGATGCAGATTTCTATTCTTCAGTTTGGGGGTTTGAGGCAGACCTTGCTGATGATTTCCCTGGATGTCATGTATAGAAACGTACCGCGGTGTGGTGTGCCCAGGAGCCCAGGCATCGTCTGTGTCCTCTCCCGTTCTGCCCACATCGCAGCGATGATGCCACGTAACAGAAGCTTCCAAGCTTCCAAGCTTCTGAGATGGTCATTTGGGGTCTCTGTTAAGTTATACTGTCCCAAGTTCCTGTTTAGGGATTGCGCCACTTTGTTCCTATCATAGTGACTTCAGTTACTTTTCTTTTCTGGACTCCAGGTTTTCTGCAACTGATGACATTAAAACTGAATGGTAATTCTAATGAAAAACTGCCCGCACCATACAGAAAGAGAGAAAAGCCTCGCTTGCAGTTTGCTCTTCACAAATGGTCTCATCTCCCTGGCTTTTTAAGCAATTGTGTGGCTGACTTTTTCTTGGGCACTGGCCGCATTTTTCTCAGCTCTCTGGTCTTGCTCAATTCTAGAATCCTAAATAGAGTGCATATTTCATGGCTATTTGAACAGCAAACAGTTTTTTTGGGTTTTTTGGTTAATTATAAAACCACCAAGGATGAAAATAAGGTTAGACACATGGAAACCCAAATGTGTCCAGAGATGAACTGGTTAGAACCAAGCCTTCTCCCTTTGCTTCATGTACGTCTCTCAGTGTGTCTTCATTCCTACTCATTTTAATTCTCCCATCACCTCAGCTCTGAGTCTTGGATGTGAGTTACCACACTGTAAATTGGAAAGAGATCAACATACAATATCATTCAGTTTAAAGATATTTCTATACAGTCATTTCAAAACTTAGGAAACTTCTAAAAACACACTTTTTAAAATTTTAAGTTTTATTTATTTAAGTAATCTCAACACCCTTTCTGAGGCTCAAACTCACAACCCCAAGACCAAGAGTCACATGCTCTTCTGACTGAGCCAGCCAGGAGCCCCTCAAAACACATTTTAAAATTACTTTAACTTTTACTGAAAAGCTTAGGGAAAATTGTATTGAGTATATGGACTTAAAAAAAAGTTTTTATTTTCATTCATCATCATTTTGTAAGACTGAAGACCCCAAATTCCAAATAAATCAAAAAGCTATGTTCTCATATTTAAACAAAGCAGTTTCACAGATAAAAACAGATTGAGAAAAATCTGTGTAATCTAGAGATGTGTGTATAGAAGAATGAGGAAATGAGAAAGAACCATGAGCTGTGCAATCTGAGATCATGCCTTCACTGTTGTTTACTGTTGAGGGGCAATAGTTTGATTCTCCTTTACACCCCCACATGTACCTTCTGGCCTACTTGATGCAAAACTGTTCCCTACAAGCTAATTGCATACAGCAGCCAAGATCCTAAAGTATTTTTCCCCAGAAAATACCCTTTTTTATAAATTATTTACAACTGACACAATTGTGTTAATGTGGAAATCCTGCAGGCTTTCATCTATAATATAATTTGTAAGCTAAATCTTGACAGGATTATCACCAAAAAACATAAATAAATGGGGCCGGTAAAAAAAAAAAAAATCGCTCCCTGTGATGTGATCCTTTGGCAGGGGGTCGGGGGTGTTGCACAGTGATGTGTCTGGGGCGTGGGAATTCAAATATAAATGTCCTCAGCTGCCCTAGGCCTCTGGGTTGCTGCCCTCTCATATTTAAAATGTCTTCAGTGTTGGAATCACCTGCCCTTTGAACAAAAAAGTATTCCTCTCGTGATGCCTATCCTATTAGGACATTCCGAGTAAGAATGAGTTCTTCGGCTCCAGCAGCCCTCGGCTGTCATGTCAGGAAAGGAACAAAGGGAAAAAAGAGAGGGATTCCCTGACTCCAGATAGCATCTATGGGAACTAAAAGTCAGATGTTCTCTTCCACCAAGCAAGGGAGCACTCCGTAGAGTCCTGGCCCAGACCACACAGTTACTAAGGTGAAGTAACACCTATTACAGGGGAAGGAAGGAAGTTAACACCTACTATTAGAGCACTGGTAGATGGGTTAAAGATAAGGAACCTCTAGGACTTGCTTCATTTTTATGATATTACAGTACACAGATGCAAACTCCTCAGGCACGTGGCCCAGCCAGTTTTCTTCATGCAGGATTTTCTTACCAGCCATCTATTTGGGCCACCCTTTTAAACACATGGGGACGAAACAGAGTTATCTTCCTGAAAAATGGGAGGAGAAATCAAGAGAAATGAAACTGAATTCTGATAAGACACTTCTGCTTACTTGTGTAGTTCTCTAAAGAACTAAGTTGTAGGAGGAAGTGATTTATACCCTCTAAAAATTTTAGCACTTACCTAAGTTATTGGCCTTTTGAACCCCATTTAGAACATTTAAAAAATTACCCGTTTGCTATTTCATTTACATTAGTATTCAATGACCATTGTCATATGAGCTCTTTTCATGCCATACCAAACCGCTGGAAAATTTGTTAACATTGAGCTGAAAACCAGAAACACCTCCCTCTCTGATGAGGGAGGAGCTCTACTTCTTCGTTGACAATCTGGTGCTAAGAATGGCTTCAAAAAATTCATGAG